AAAAAAAAAAAAAAAAAAAAAAAAAACAGAGGAGTGTTTTTTCTGCTAGTTAACCTGCAGTTGTCAGCAACAGGTAGGGGAGGGGTACCGTGCTAATCTATCTGCCTTACAGCAGAAGAAATCTGTTAGTGCCTTTCCATGTCACCTCATTCAAAATGTATGAACTGTAGAAATATAAAAATGTATGGATTATGGAAGATTATTTGACATTTTTGCAATTATCAAGTATTCATAAACAAAATAAAATTGTTTTTCATTGTTACTGGGTAACCTGGCATTTCCTTCCTTTCTTGTAAGCTAGATAGGTCTTTTTTTCAGCCAGCTGATGAGAAGTGTGCAGCAGCAGGTGGGAAATGGAGAGCTCTGGGTTGTGTTCCAACATTACTGATAATTTTAGTGATTTTAAAAGTAACTTTTCAAATAAAATCTTGATGCCATTAATTTCCCCCGTCCCTGAAGGATCCAGGGACTTTTTAGACGGCTGACCAGCACAGCGCAGCAATAGGTGAGGGAGGGGCTCTAAGGTCTGGCCTTTGTCAATCATACAGAAACAATTATTAATTTTTTTTTTTTTTAAACCCGGCGTGACGGTGACGAGCTCACGGCTAGGTTTGAGCAAAAAAACGGAGAATTCGCCTTTCGTTTCACGGACTCCATTTTAATCCCGAGCCCATCCGTTCGAATGAGGAAAACAAGGAGGATGAAACACTGCGATGACCGTGGTGCAAGCGGGGAGACACAGAGAAGGGTCGTTACTTAGCAGAAACAAATACCTACCATGAAAATATCCCCAATTCAAAGACTGCTTGTGTCAGAACAGAAAGACAACAGGTAGGGACTAAGTAAGGGTTATTGAAGAGGAGTTTGGAGGAAGAAGAGGTGGAGAAGGAGGAGGAGGAAGAGGAGGAAGAGGGCACAGAAAAGAGTGTCACTGAACAGGCCCTCAGAGGAAAGCAGGGCTAAATTTGTAAGCATTACATTGCCAATTAGAACAAACACGACAGTTAAGAAGGGAGGGTGTCATCAAATGCTTGGGCAGAAAATGAATTTCAACCATAATTTATGGAATCACCGCAAATTACACACACAAAAAAAAAAAAAAAATCCTTGATGCTGCGTTCAGATAAAGTCGGTTGTGAAATTCATTTTCTGCCGCTGGGCTTGAACTGAGTTCAACAAGAAAAAAAAAAAAAAAAGAAAAAAGTAGCTGAGCAGGAATTTTATAGGAGCAGGAAAAAAAAAAGAGATTTCCATCTGTCAGCACGTGTTTTAGGAAGACATTGGAGCCAATTAACGAAGGAGGAAGATGCTCAGCGTGGATGTCTTCCTCTCGGTTGGACTATAGCAGTTATACCTGCATGGTTTGCACCATAAACTCAGCTGGTCAAGCCCGAACAAGGCACGACACTTCTTTGGGGTATTTGCATCTGTTAGCCAAAGAGGTAGACACAAACAGACAAAAAAGGAACAAAAAAGGAACAAAAAAAGAAAATGTACATGTCATTACACAGACAAAAAAAAACATAGCCAGGGCTTAGATTTAGGCTGGCAACACTAGGATAACCTCCATTTGGACCAAACTATTGGACTTCAGATCCTCCAAGCCTCGACCTGCCAGTTTTTGGCTTACAATGTGCTCTGCAGTAACCTCCCCGCACCCCTCCCCCTTTGAGTATTTATTCGTACGTTCATGCAAACACGTCATTCGTCTGAAACAAACATTCACGTTATTCCCCCAAACAGGAAGCAAGAACCCCGAGAGAGAGAAAGAGACCGGCAGGGCGTGGCTGGAGGAAGCTGGGTGGGTCACAATAGCCCGGCGGGACAGACAGGGAGGAAGGCGCAGAGGGAAATAAAACGAGCAGCGAGAGAGCAAGAGGAGGCATTCCCAGCGTTCACACGTCCCCAGCCTTCACCTTGGCCCTGGCCAGTGCAAGCACACACCATACACACCTGCACGGGCCACACCAGTTATTCTGTTGGTCGAGCCCAAAGCGCGCTCGACACTTCTTAGGAGCGCTCAGGTCTGATGCCACAACAGGGAAGGGGAAGCCAGCAGAGGAGGAGGAGGAAGAAGAGAACCGAAACCAGTAAAACAAGAGAGTCAGGAGAAAGGAGAGAAAAAAAAAAAAAGACAGAAAACCGGTGAATCTGTGAAGCTAAGCAGTGGCTCCAAAACCCCACAAGGCCATTATCAAATATGCATAAAGTCAATTACATTGTACCAGAAATTAGTAGAATCCAAAAGCATGCAAGCTATCAAGTCATATTACAGAAGCAATCCCTTCAAAAGTCGTAAAACATAAACTCTGAGGGAAGTTAAAGCAGATTTTAGGATAGGTCTTAGATTAAAAAGGATAAAAACAAAAATAAATGCAGGTTGGATTAATTTGCTGTTAGATGCTACCAGTTTTAATCTGCAGGTGGCAAAACTAGACAGTGGGAGCAGTGAGACTTGGCTCCAGCCCAGGGGAAGGATTAACAACAGGCTGGATCTTCAAGAGAGAAGCTCATCTTTAGACCTGGAATCAAACAGTTTGACCGGTTTCAAAAAAGCACAAGCAGCACAAAGTCACAAAAGGTCTATCCATCCATAAAGCAGGCATGGAGTGATCTATAACCGAAAAATCCTTCTTACTACTGCCAAATAATACATTCGTTACTGCAATTATAACAATCCTGCATATACTGAAGCAGAAATATTCAATAAAATACCTTTGGAATATTACATCTTTTTGTCATTCAGCTCTTTACTTGCATATTAATGTGAGTACTTCAAGCTGACATTAGCTGATTAATTAGCTTAGCTGTTTACACAAGTATCCAGCATGAACAGAAATAGTTTTAAAAACTGGTGAGTTATCTGCAACCAGAAATATTTCCAAACAGCTGATTATTTTTTAAAAGGTAGTTTCTTGTGCAAATGAGAGAACGCGCTTGAGTTTTTGGATGATTCTCTTTTCCTGGACGTCCAGAATTTTGTTTGTGGTACTAATTTGGAAATATTTGCGATACTTGTGCTTATTTATGATGGTAAATGCAACTTTTTATTACTTGTATAGATTATGGACTATAATTCGACATAAATTAAGACTGAGGCAGTTGTTTGGTACAAATAAGAAAGTTTTTGACAAGTTTTGAGGAAAAATTTGCAATAACCTCCCAATTATTAGCGCAAAAAAAAAATGTGGGGATTTGTTGATTTTGCATGAATTTCCACGATAAATCTCAAGAAACCGGAGGGACTGATTGACATAATTTGGCAGTAAATAGATAAAAGCTGCATTGATTTGATTGGTAACATAATATTTAAGCACATTTAGTGTTCAGTCTGGAAACTAGAGGGCCACATAAAAAGCTATGGCGGACCGGATTTGGCACACGGGCCTCCAGTTTGACACATGTAGAAGTATTTGGGATAACTAAAACTGCACTCTTTAAAAACTTGACGCCTATAACAAGTCCGAGCCCATTCCCAACTTTCTGAGTCATAGAAGTACAACGCTGTTTGATTCCAGGCCATGTCTGAGTCGATACGTCTTATAAAAACAGGGAGAAGGCCAAACTCATGCTGGCCTGTCGGAAAGGCAAAAAGGCAGCTAACAAAAGCACATAGATTAAGGAGGTTTACCCTGATGTCCCAAGCCTTTACTTCACAATAATAATCTATCACTTCCTCGAGCACACTGCATTGTGATTTAGCCAAAAAAATAGAAACATATGGAGATACAGCCTAGCTTAAAGAACATCGACATTTTAGGAAAAGAAAGCAGCAAACAAAGCAATAAATTAAAAAAAGCATATTTCAGAATGAAGAATTTAAGGTAAAACCCGTCCCATACACATACATTGATTTTAAAAAAGAAAAATAATCAAAGAAACAGTTAGTAATTTGATACTTAAAATGACATTAGCACCTGTAATCGGAGGGAGTGAAAGGCAAGGGTTTGGAAAATATTCTCTGTGTTCTGAAAAAAAAAGAACAGATAGAGAGGCCTTCAAGAAGAAATCCGTCACCAAAACGAGCGCAAAATACATTGATAACAAGTCGGCACAGCGTCCTCACAATATGAATCAGAAGAGGAGAGATGGATATAAAAAATAAAATAAATAAATCACAGAATTAGCAAACCTCCTTAATTTTAAGATGTAAGTGATTTGTTTTTATTTAAAAGAAGAGCATGCATGGAAGCAAGCATGAAGCACACACGCATGCACGGTTCTGGGACACACGCACACACACACACACACACACACGCACTCAGACAACAAGGCACAGTAGTGCAGTCGATCTGCAGGGCAAAGGCAATGTAAAATTATAAAAACAGGGCCAAGCACACAACTCTGCCAAAGTTAATGGCTTTCAAAATGCTTCAAGTTCTTAAAAAACACATATCAAAATACCAGGGGGCTAAGAGCCCAAGCAGGGTGGGTGAGGGGGTGTAGTGGGGGACTACAGGGGGTCATGCATATTCAGTTGTTATTAGCTAGGGAGAGCTGGGGAAAATGGGGGGGGAAGAGGAGGGAGGGGGTTTACAAGCAACTCTACCATTTAAACATTGCACTGGGTAGCATAACTATCCCGAGAAAAAAGAAAAAAAAGGCAGGCACAATATATATATATAAAAAAAACATAACAGGAAAAAAAAACAAAAAAAAAAAACAAGCTTGACTTTTATCTTGCAAGATGTCACATCTGCCTGACACATGATGGGGTTCTTCTAATATAAGAGATAATTGCAGCTCACTTACCATTGCTCTCTGCTTGCTGCTTTTCCCTTTTTCTCTTCTTCCTTTTCCCCTGTTGGTTAGCCGCCAAAAAAATAGAAAGAAAAAAAGAGATAGACACCGACAGGAACCTTAGTTATTATATAGCAGAATGCCCAAAACATGAAACAGAGAATAGGACTCATCTTTGTGTTTACTTATTTATTCATTCACTCTTTCTCTGCTGTTTATTCCCCTTTCTTGCTCTCTCTCTCTCTCTCTGCTGTTTTTGCCCTCCGGTTTGTAACAGCCACTGCAGGCCAGACAAAAATCTCCCCCTCTCTCTGTTTGCTGTCTGTTTCTCCTCTTTTCTTCTTGTAATCTTGTTCCCCCCACCCCCATATTTTCTTCTGTTAAAAGCTAGACATTTTGACACGCTTCTGCTTAGCCAGACAGATTTCTCTACAGCTGCTGGAAGGAGATTGCCCTGGTCAGCAGCATGCAGAAACTGAATAATCTGGCACTTATGTGTCAGAACAAAATGTCCAAGCTGCAAAACATCCACCATAGTCAAATAGTCAAGCTCATCCAAACACACAGTTTTGTTAACTGCATGCTGTGACCCGAAAATATATCTGTTTTTTTGATAAATAAAATAATCCAACTGCAAATAATCATGATTATAAACTCAGAAAGACGCTTGTGATACATTTGAGTCCAACTTTCCTCAGATGCTTCAGTTATAATACACGTCCACTCTGATCAGTGGGCATGCCACACCAGTAGGTGGCGATAAGTTCCACCTTAACAACATAAAAATAGACAGGAAGTACATCCTAGAGATGGCGTGAGAACGTACTGGAAACCATAGTGTCTTGTTTCTCATGAGGTGTTGGGACAAGTTGAGGGAGTTACACAGAGCTCCAAACAAGCAGCAAACGAGACTTTTACGTTACTGAATCTCAAAACATGCATTCGTTGTTGGTGTAAGAATTCACTTTAGAGACACTATAGGGAAGAAAAAAAAACAACACAATAAAAGGTGTAGAGGCTAAAAAAATAAAATGTATTGCAGCTTATAGTAACTTGCACCATTTATTCCCACTTTTCAAAGTGTAAAACAGGAGCTTTTTGATGAGTTGCTGCAGATATTGTCACAAATCTAAGGCCTACGTCACACATGCTTGGATATCTGGGAAAACAAATATATTTTTAAGCATTTTGGCCTTTCATCCACATGAAAACCTGTTTTTATGTCACTACACATGGGTATTTATAAAGATTCTGACCAGAGTAGAGATTTGAGAAAACTTCATATTTGTGTTTGCATGTGGAAACGGAGACGTATGGTCCAGCGCATTACAGTCTGCGGCACATAATGCGCCAATTTATTTACACACTTGATTTTACACTATTCCCAACTGATGTTCAAAGCTGACTTTGTTATGTTAACTTTGTAGTCTAATAAACTGTTTTAAAGTAGTTCAACCTACATATCTTTGCACACAAATGAACAGGAAGTTGTGGCTGTTTTGAAGCAATCTGATTGGCTGTCAAGTCTTAGCTCAGTGCTACGCTGCCCCCTATGGGTTTGGCATCTTTAAAAACAATGCTCTGGAGCGGATTTGTCGGGGTTCATGTCGATGAACACTTTTCTGAAACTGATTTTTTTTAAAGATGAGGCATAGATATTTGTATAAATACGCGGACACGTGGGCTAATAAAGAATCCATGATGAATAAACAAACTAATGCAAGGATGGATGGACAGATGGATAAACAGATGCCATATAAATGGATGGAAATAGATTTTTTTTGTGCTAGCCCTTACTTATCCATACTTTGGAAATCCTTAAATTAAATTTTTTCCAGGTTGTGTCAGAACTCTGGTGTTCTTAAGAACAGACCAAAAGATTCACCAACAGGAAAAACCCACTGAATATTTGACACATTTATCACACAGCTGACAATTAGACTCCACCATGTAATAACAGGCTACACTTTAATAAGTCTGTCACATTTTAGAAACACACAAGAAGAATCTGAGGTCCTAAGCGTGTAAGAGGGAAAAGCAAAGAAACACTCTTCCTGTGAAACCAAAACAAATCAAAGGGGAGAAATCAAAGGGGAGAAAGAAGAGGCCGTTACGACTTGTAAACCTAAAAACTTACATAGTTGTCTCGTGCTGACCAGCCGGGGTACAGCTGCATGTGGAGCTGTCGCTCTTTCCTGGCCAGCTCGTAGTACTTGGCCTGCTCCTCCCGCGATAAGGCGTGCCACTGCGCATTGACAAACACGTCAGGAATTTTTATAACTGACCGCACTTCAACATTCAGGTACGACTGAGTCGCACTTTTTAACCACATTCCCCACGCCGGAACGTTTTCGAGACTTACCCTTCGCCCCAGGATCTGGTTGATAGCAGCGCTTTCTTTCAGTGTGCACTCCGCCACCACCTTGGCCCTCATCTCCTTCATGTAGAGCATGAAGGCGTTCAGAGGCTTCTTTATGTGGACCTGCTTCTTCTTCTCCTCCTCCTTTTTAGCGTCCGACTGTTTCCTAAAAAGCGGGGGCAGAAGAGGACGGGCGGAGTGAGACGGGGCGCGTCGCCACGCGGGGAGAGTCGAGGACGCGGGGCGGGCTACTCACGAGCTGTTGAGTGAGCTAATGTCGCTGTGGGAGGATTCCTGCTTGACGTTGGGCGTGACGATGGCCGGGTGAGGGATGCCCGTGGTGTGCAAACTGTGGTGGGGGGGCACCATGTGTGGGGGGAATCTGGAGGACAGAAGACTGTGTAAATCGTCAGAATGGACACGGATGAAATGAGGAGATGGAGCACAAACAGCACAATGCAGATGTGGCTAAAACTGAACTTGTTTTTAAATCTTAAGATCACACAGCGTTTAGTCACTGTCATTAAAATGGAACAGAGGACAACAAAGACACAATGATATTTTAAAAGCTAGTTAAATAAAATTCAATAATAATAAAAACAAACATTTATGTATGTATATTGTTAGGTTTTTATATGACTGACCAACACAAAATAGTTGATATTTATGAAGGGGAAGTAAAATGAAGAATGTTTTTGCAAATGAAAGTGATAGAGACCCTCAGGGAGGACAATCCATCAACAAACTTTATTACAAATAACCAGAGGTCAAATGTCATTTAAATGTTGGAGAAGTAAAAAAGACTCCATTGCCACCATCAAGCACAGCGATGGCTACATCATGATGTGGGAATGCTTTTTTTTTTTTTCAGTGCAATCACAATAAAAACACCTCGTGAGTGCTCAGAAAGACCTGAGCAGGACAATAAAACAAGAGTTTTTCATGTGTTAGAATGGCCTAGTCAAAGTTCAATTAACAATCCATGCTAAGTCTTGGAAATTGATTGCTCCTAATCCAATCTGACAAAGAAGAACAGCCAAAATGTCTGTGGATGTGCAAGACAGAAAAAAACTTGGAGCTGTAATTTCATACAGAGCTGATTCTCCAAAACATTAATTTGGGGAGTTTACAAATGCATGCCACACTTTTCAGATTACGCACTGCTTTGTGTCGGTCCATCCAATAAAATCCCAATAACCACACTGAAGTTTGTGATTGCTGAGGTGACGTGAAGTTTGTGGTTGAAACGGGACAAAATGTAGAAACGTGCGAGAAGCACAAAAAAACCTCCGTACTGAAAGAGAAAGGCCTAAATTCTGGATGGCAAATCTGTAGCCATTATCTCCTGCCGAGCCAATCCTGCAGAGTAGGAGAGACGCTCTAGTTATCGCTCCAGATTTTGGGTTTCCATCTGCGTTCTGCAAATTCAGCACCGTCAGCACCGCTGCCATCTTTATCTACCTCACTCTCCCACCATGGTTTCGTAATCTCCAACTGGTCCGCCACACAGAAACTCTTGTTTAAGAAACGATTTAACAGCCCGGATCCAGCCACACAGAGAGTGTGTGGAGCTAATTATCTGAGCATGTGTGCATGTATATATATATATATATATATATATATATATATATATATATATATATATATATATATATAAATATTTTTATATCTTCATGTGTACGTTTAAAGGCCTCCACGTGACCAAACAAATTTAAGAGAAGGATGAAGGAGAAAACGAAGGAGTAACTCTTATTTTTTTGTTAAAGCAGCTCATTATCCGACTGTGTCTGGCTGCATGGCTCCGAGCCAGAATATAATGATGAGGATAAACTCGCCAGGAACAACTAGTTTCTGTTGGAGGCCATCTCAGGGGAGTACCACAGCTACTACCCCACCTCCTCCTCCCATCAAACTCTTTTCCTCCATTTCTCCTTTCCCCCTCTCCTCCCTTCATCCCTGACACGCCGGTGTTTGTGCCGTGTCATCGGCTGATGGGGAGCGCGGCGGCGGTGGCGGCGGCTGCACAGCGCCCATCATTAGGGCCCGCGTTTGCTCCGCTCCCTCCGTTTTCCTTTCTCTCCCTCCTTCGCTCTCTGTGCACTTGTTAAAATTTCCTCTGTTCTTCTTCTCTACTCCTCCTTGTCCCCTCGCTGCCTCCACCCTTCTCCCCTCCACCCCGCAGCCACCGCGTGGCCCAGGTTATGGTTTAAACATGACGGCCATCCCTTTGAAGCGTCCGGGGCATTATCATCGTCGTCGTCATCATCACCAAGGCTCATCAGCAGCGAGCGGCAGCCTGGACCAATTTAAGCAACATATAGCGGCAGTGGAGACCCCCACCTGCCCAGCAACCCTGGGGCTTCTACGTCTCAATCTGAAAAGGTAAGAATGGCTGTCGGGAGAGGGGGTGGAGGCGGGGTAAATGGGGGATTGGGTCACCGGCGCGGTGAGGCCGAGCGTTAGCTTAATTGCCGGTAGCCCCCTGCGCTTGTTTAATGTATAATGATGTGGCCGTTCCGCGGGAAAGAGAGGAAGGAAGCGGCATGACAGGAGGACATATCAAAGGGCCAGGCTTGATCACAAGGGACCAAATGGTCTTCACATCCACCCACCTGTCCCACATACATCCAACACACACACACACACAGCAACACAATAAGGGGGAACATGCTTTGGCTGCAACCCCATTATTAAAATAATGCATCAGATTTGCTCCTCTCTACTTCTCTGATTCCTTTCAAACCAGAATGGATCGTTTTACAGGACGACTTGTCAGCGCCGTTCCCTCAATCCCAACTCCTGACTGACCTAACAGGGTTCGTACACTTTTCCCACAGTAAAAATCAAGCACTCTTAAGGTATTTTTATAATTACAATAACTTGTGATAGGCAATAAATTGGCCCAGAAGGTATTGCGATAAACCGTAATACTGTCATTTTGACACCATTTTCAACTGATACAATAAAGCAAGTACATCCTCTCAACGTTCAATAAGCTACCATATAACAGTTAAACTGCAAGACAACTGAAACAACAAATAAAATGGATACCGAAGTATCTGAGACAAAAGCACCAGACTGAAGACTGTTGTCATCCAGTCCAGACACAAGAAAAAAAAAAAAAACAATCGTGCAAGTGAAATTGTCTTGCTCGTTTTAATTTATCACGCAACTAATTGATTTATTGCTGTGACAGGCCTAAATGTAAGTTTTCAAACTTTTCCAGCACCGCACTTTGGAGAAAAAAGCAGTGCTAATGAACTAAAGCAGTGAGTTTTAATTCCATATTATGCAATATTATTTAGTACTATTATTAACAATGTCTCGTGATAATATTCTACATTATGCCACAGGGAGAAAGTCCACTAAAATATGAGAACATTTTGTTTTGAAACGTCTTGCTTACACACACCTTATACATCTGACTAGTCCGAGAAAGTTATAAAAAAAATCTGTAAAAAATATTCTCGCCAAGTTTTCTTTCACTTAGCAAATAGAAATAATTTTGGTGATTCTAACTTACCTAAAACAACAAGAAAGAAAACTGTAGGCCTTTTATTGTGTTTTAATATCTGGTTTCATCTGTAAATGACCAAATTTAGGATTTTTATCAAATGCCAGTGTGTGTTTTATTACCATATTGTGCAGTTTGAATATCAAGCACTTTCAAGGACTTTATACAGAAATTAGGCACTTTCCAAACCTTAAAAACTTCAATCATTTTGAGTTTCTTCCAGCACCAGTGTGAACCCTGTGAAGAGCTGGGCTTTGGCTCATCTTCGCTCTGCTTCCAGTCAGCGGCGCTCGCTGCAGACAGACGGAGCTGCCTCAACACGCTGACCGTTTTGCTTTGCTTTGAACAAAACCAACTAGCTGAAGGCTACGTATGAAAGGAGGTTTGATACAATTAAGCCGATTGTTTTGGATGTTTTGCTCTCCTCTGGTGAGGAGTTTTTTTTTTTGTTGTCTTCGTTTTTGGAAGGGTGGAGCGATGGGCTTTAACTCTTCCCCTCCTTCTGCAGAGAACTCCCAGAGCTCTCCATCTATTCAGTTATACTAATTCAATTAGGGGCCTCATCACAGGGGCATTAGCTCTTCCCCCATGGCCAGGCCCCCTCCCCCTCTCCCACACACCCAGTCAGTATATTCAATTAGCTGCACTGGAAATAAGATGATCGCATAGTAGGGGCTGTCATTAAGGGAGCAAATTAGCAGTCGCTTAAAGCTCGGGTTGGCCGGGATGCTGCTGCCAGATGCCAACGTCCGACCAGGGTTGCCATCCGACGGACTGACTGTCTGTCTGCACCTGAAACTTGTTGGGCAAAGAAGACTGAGAGGGAAATCAGTGGACTGGTTGGCTTCCTAAGCACATGGCCGGACAGATTTATAGAGGAGTGGCAAAAGCAAATGAGGTGGATTAGCAGTGCATGCTAGCAATGCTACTTTGAAATATCTCTGCTGGCCAGACAATCGAGCTGTTAGCATCAGGAGACTGTCAGTCAGAGGCCTCTTCAGACTGCTACTGGAGATTCTTCCTGCCCACAGCATCACCATCCACAACGACTCTTTGACGGTTTAATTTACGACCACATTTAATTTCCCTTTGAAATAAATTTTTTTAATTGAACCGAATTGAATAAATTGTAATAATTGGTTGAATTCTTACAGCCAGCTGACAACCAGTGCACAGCAAGAGACGGGAGAGGGGCAGCTCTGCACTGATTTGTGAGTGAGACAAAAGTACAGAAGCCTTCCTCTGTGTTCGGCAACAAGTTGGGGAGGGGCAGCTGTTTTTACTTTGAATTATATCGAAAAGATAAAGACATTATTCGTGTACCTTGTAAGTGAGTAAAAACCAGCTGCAGTGTGCAGCAACAGGCGGAGGAGGGGAGGGGTGACGCTGTTACTGCGGCACTTTCAGCAGCATCTCAGTAAAAAGTAGGAATGGTTTTACTCATCATTTTTATGATTTTTCACGCTGTAGCTTTACAAAAAAACAACAAAAAAAAAAACTGTGTATATGTTAATTCTGGCCCCTGCCTAAAAGAGGCCATGCTTTCTCAGCTGCTGGCTCTTTGCATACATGATCCATCACTGTCACAGAGGACTAAACAAGCCGCCCCTCAGGAGCTGCTTTTCCAATTGGGCTGTAATTAAACTCAAGCTCGGCTTCAGACGAGCAACGACCAGAGGAGCCTGAAGAATCCGACCCAACGTAGAGGAAATGCATTCCTCACCAGTAAAAACACCAGCACATGTGTTCAAGATGACAAAAACACACACACACACACACACACACACACAAACTCGTCTCCTCTCGCGGGAGCCCTGATGTCCACAGCGGCACTTGAACTAGACCCTAATGGGGCGGACGGAGGCGACCGGAGCTTCACATGGTGGTGTCACCTTCAAAGTGCTGCTGTTTGTTTATCTGTTTGGCTGCTTCAACTCGCAGCAAGGACATGCCCCCTCCGTTTCATTTCTGCTCTGCCTGACATGCGGCGGGGGTAAACGTTCTTCAGGGGCCTCATTAGAAAATGATAAATATAATTAATATTTGAGCATGCAAGCTGGAGCCCCTTTCCTGCACTGGAGAATTGGCCTTTTGAACACGCTGATGTTGAGCGCGAGCGTCTCCTTAAGGGAGACGTTTCTGGAAGACGTGCGCAGATAAGACGCAGACAGATGAGTGAGGAGGAAGTGAGCGTGAAGGTGTTGGCGCACTTTGGGTCTAACTCACCTTGACATGGATGCGTTGACGGTGAGCGCAGTTGGGTAGGGGTGTCTGAACCCCCCTGTCGTGATTGGATAAACAGGTTGACCTTGCCTGGGAAGAGGGGAAGAGAAGAAGAAAGCGGATAAGGTAAAGGAATAAGGTTGATGGAAGACGGGACGCCAAAGCCCCACCGCGGGCCTCTTTATTCTCATTTGATCAGGACAAAAATCGAGGGGATTGCAGAGCGCAGATCAAAGCGAGGGAAAACTCCGAACAATTTGAATGCCACAAATCTTGATAGCGGTGGCTAATTAAATTTCATAACCCTTTGCTCGGAGTCGACAGAGTGGGGCCCCGTTCCTCCCCGAGCTGGAACTAGGTGTTTTGTTGTGATAATTAAAGACGAAGCGCGGGTTCCTTTAATGGAGCCATCACGCTAATTGAGGTCTACACATCCAAAGACAAACAATAATGAATGTAAATTTATACCAAAATAAAGTGCAGCAAATCAAAGGGCGCCACGACTGCGCTCAGGGCTTCTCTCGGTATTTAGATCGCGGTGAGAAAACATTAAATTAACAGAGCTTAATTTGTAGCCTTTTGTCATATTAACAAGTGTTGACAAGAGTTACCAGGGGAGAGCCTCTGTGAGGAATTGTGGGTAAAACACAGGCAATCACAGCTCATTGCTCTAATTGGAGAAAACGCAGACATGCAAAATAGGATTTGACAGAAAAATGGAAAGTTGAGCTCGGTGAGAGTCTAAGGAAGCAGGTCCAGGAGAGATTGCGTTGGAAAATCAACTCTGGGTTTCAAAGAGGAAAACCACTTTCAGTAATGATCATAAGGGATTTAATTGTTTCCAGCGTACTGTACTGTTAACTCATAAGCCAGATGGGAAAAACAAGCTGCCCCCCAAATAATGGTATTAAAGTAACTGGATAATTTATCAATTTATCAAAGGACACAACTAAAAAAGTTTAACCTTTAATTCCAACAAATTTTTTTATATTTTAAATATTTAAAATAATTTTTAATACAATACCCCCAATGAGTCCCCCAATGTTGCTGAGACTTTTTTTTTAATTGATCATATATTCTAGACTTTCTCCTTCACTGGGGTTAAAATATACTACTTCTCAAAATGGGAAAGGCAAGAAAACATAGTACACAAGTAAAGCAGATGTGTAACGAAAACACAACTAGCTACTCTGGTCTGAACTTACAAATAAAACAGCTGACAAACTTTGTTTTGGTCCTTCATTGCCACCATAGCTGAATGACAAACCACAACGTTCTCAAGCAGAAGTCCTCAAATTATGGTTTCATTTTAGTGCAGCTTTTTAAAGACATGCGGTGGAACATAGAGTTCTGTCATTTAGCTTTGCACATTAACACTGGGGAGGAGCAGAACTTTTACAAATGTGCTATTACGCCCCTACTTCACAGTAAAAGTCTAGGTTTTCCAAATGTAAGACTTCTAAAGACCACGATGAATACAATTTAAGACCTGTATTGTGCCAAAACTTTACAAAATAATTTAAATTTGCAATAAATTTGCACTTATTCACTTCAGGGTTTTCCCCAGTGCATTATAAGCCTGGCAGGTCACCAGGCTTTATTTGTTCCCCCACCAGGCTAAGCATTGCTTATTTTTTTAGTCTTTTTAAAATGTTTGCAATTTTAAGACTTTATAGTTGGTGGTCAGGTGTTAATATTTCAATAAAGTGATACTTTCAAATTTCCTGTCAACTTTTAAACATTTTTAACTCAAAAACACAATGGCTGCTGGATGACTGACCGCCCCAGCATCCAACCACCAGGCTTATTAAGTTTTCTGGAAACTTTGCATTTCAACTAAAAATCTGTTGTGCTCTGCAAGACCACTGTAAATGGATCACCACCAGGTCTTTCATCTGCATAATTATCAAATGGTTTGCAAGGCACAAAATCAACCCTAAGGTACTAAAACCTAGAGGAAACTGGAGATAAGCACACAGGACACAAAAGTGCCCTACCTTAACTAAAACAATGATTTACAAACATGGGATTAAAAGTACTCAAATTAAAGGTAGAGTGACATCATGCTAGATCAATACATTTTATTTGGGGGTGCCAACAAATTTGTCAACCATCATAAAGATGTGAACGCCTCTAGACTTTCACAAAACTCAAATGAAAGACAGAAGAAAGAGTAATAATAAAAGGAGTTGCTTACTGTGGTACTAACCATCCTAGCGGATGGGGGATCTGGCCAACGGTGCCAGGTGACAACGGGTAATAAGGAGATATGTCTGGAGGATGAGGAGGCCTCGGGATTCCTGTGGAAGGAAGAGAAGATGACAGGGAGGGGAGAGAAGGTGGACAGACAAGACGAGGACAAGGAGACAGAACCAAATCTTTGTCAGTGCTCAAATTCAGTGTTTGTTGAGTTTCGCATCACAGCAGAGCAAGATGGGAGGAAGACGAGGAGGAGGGAGGAAGGGGGCTTGTTGCTCGTGTGTACACAGCGCTAAAAATCACACTTGCTGATCAAAGGCCTTTGAGGGAGGCGGCACAATGTGTTGGAAGAGGCAAGGGTGTAGAGGAGTGAGGAGAAAACACCGACGAGGTTCTTGTCACATTTTGTCTGGCAAAGCAGGAGATTAATGATATAAAATGACGGAGGTTTAGAAGTTAACAAAACAAAGAGAGGGAATTAAAAAGCTGTCTCTGTGATCAGAGAGCTGCCAATAACGGTAAAGCCAGCTGACTTTATGGATTGCTACCTGATGCATGCATCAGAAACGCAACAGCAGACATTAGATTAGATGCTACCTATGTCACTATCGCTGCCGTCCTGAAGATCTCCCAGATATGCCCCCCGAAAAACAGCTGATTTTTGTTTGCCATCCTCCCCGCTGACAAACACCGACAAAGACGTCCAATTTTTTATTTTTTTTATTTTTGTCGGGACGGCTCGCCGAAACAATCTCAGCATCCTTTTACTTTTCCGTGGCAGCTGACAGGGGAAGAAACGGCATCGACAAGCTGCCCTGAACGAACAAAATAATAATAAGAAAAAGGAAAAGAGAAAAGGTCCCGAGTACAGCCGAGCGTAAAAATAACTTCCTCTCTCTTTGCAGAAACTTCAATCGAAGAATACTGGAGTTCTGCAAAAGCGCAAATCAGAAACGAGGAAATTTATGCGGCTGACGGTGTGACATTTCTACCCAGCTGGTGTTGCTTCAGGTATTCCAGGTGGCTGCAGATTAGGCGCAGGTTTCTGTTTAAACTTTGCACTTTTGTTACTGATGCACAATGTGATGAGTTTGCATGTGGCTGGGAGACTAAACCTTTCCAGGAATACCATTTTTGCAAAGGCGAGTCCCATTGAGTGGAAAAACCCGGAGAGCATTATCCCATCGTCGAGCAATATAACTCATTAATTAATTAAACACTGCGGCCAATTAAGCTGCCCCATTAACCACTACATTAAACAGCAGCTGGCACATTATTTCTCCTTTGTAAGGGGGCAATCATAATAAGGGAACATTATTACCTAAAACATGGGCCCAATCCGCCAGAGACCACAGAAAAAGCACAAAATTATTCACCGCACTGAAAAGCACATTAACCAAGAAGAATGGGCTGAATGATAGTTAACAGAATTAAGTGCTGGGTCAAGATGCTCTCGGAAATGAATGAAATTACCTAAAAAATGTGCTCTGGATGTTTGTGGGACATGCTACAGCGGTGCAGAGAAAAACGTTGAATTCAGCACTTGATCTGCAGAATCAACAGGCTGTCAAGCACTAAAAAAAAAAAAAAAAGGAAAGTCCGACAGGCTCGGATTATATTGATGAAAGCTTGAGGAAAAGGCTTAAAAAGCGCTTGAACTTCCTGGAATCTTCGAAGATCGCAGGTCTCCGTTTTTATCTGAGCTCAAGCCACCTAGGCCGCCTCGCATTGAGCAATCGGATTTGCGGTCATGCGAGTTCGAGGCTGTTTGCCGAATTCCCTGATTTACGAGGCGCTTTACGAGCCACAGCTCAGGTCGTTGTCCTCGAGTAAGAGAAGAAACCGAGCCACCGAGCGCTGGAGCTCAGTCAGAGGCAGACTGGAGCTGAACAAAGAAGAACCTGAACTGTTTTCTAAATGTTTATATGCAGCTTTCTGCAGAGTTCTCAAAGATGCTCTGGATTTCACTGGCTACTGGAGACACTTTTCAAACACATTGAGCTGAATTTTAGGTGAGCTTTGAGCAGAAATCACAACACATGCAGTTTTACAAAGGTATTCATCTACCTTGAACGTTTTTCATATGTGTTACATCAGAGGAAAACATGTGGTGCATAACAGTGAAGTTGAAGTGAAAATGTGTTTCCAATATTTTTCTCAGATAGAGAAGTGGCAGAAATTTATATTCCATCCAGTTTATTCTTATAACCATGAATAAAATCAAATCAGAAGACACCAAACTCATAAAATAGTCAACTTGTGCTTTGGATTTAGATATGTACTTTGACTAGGCCATAATAACACTGAAAAAATGTGCTGATCTAAACCATTCCACTGTAGCTCTGGATGCATGTTGGGGTTAATGGCGGCTCCAACAGGTTCCCACAGAACACCCGCTAACATGTTTTATGGTGTGTTCAGGGTGACGTTAGCATTTTGGCAGCAAGAGGGCCAAAAACAATTGTGTTTAGTGTCCCATTGACAGATTCTCCCACCAGAGCTACGTGTCCCTGCAGCTCCTCCAGAGCTACCAAAGGCTGTTTCTCTGAATTATGTTAACTCTTATCAGAACAACTGCATTTACACTGAATTTTATTCAGGTTTGGAGCTGAAAAAAGCGCATGCCGCACTTTTCAGATTCATACTTGTAGAACAATTTGAAAGTGACATGTCGTTTATTTTTTTTTTTTCCAACTTCAAAATTATGCACAACTTTACATTTAAATACATAATTGGTGGCCAAATGTGAGAAAAACATCAAGAGGTGTGAATATCTCCCCCCAAAAATTTACTTCAGATTCTGATTTTGTTCCCCCCCCACCATAAATATTTATGGAGTGAAAGAAACACCAGCTGGGGGCTTACCTGTTTTGGGATCCACGTCTGTCTGTAGGTGAGGTGGGGGGTTCCCCGGTGTGAAGTGCTCATTGCTGTAGGTGATCAGAGGCGTGAGGGGGTGCACATGGTGCGGGTGCTGTACCACTGGAACCTTATTAGACTGACAGAAAGAAGGATGTGCAGGAGCACAAAAAGAAAGAAGAGAGAGAGAGAGAGAGAGAAAAGAGAAGAGACAGGGGAGTCAATATTTAGGTTTAAAACTGAGGGCGACAGCTAAAGAGTCGCAACTCGATCTGAAAGACAAGGGGGGGAACAAAATCGGATCAAATTCTGGTTACTCTCAAGGTGCCAAAACCGCCAAACCACAGCAAAAATAGCATGGTTTGTAATTAAAAACACTTCTGCGGCATCAACCCTGGAATTCGGTAACACAATCTAAGAGGTTTGTGGGCTTGCCAGTTCCTATTTGGGCGTCATATTGGATGAAACACTTTTAAACCACCGCTGCAGCGAAGTAATCGATCATCTGTAAACCACGAAATCAAGGCAGCGGGAGTAAATCTGCAGCCATTAGCAGCTCCAGTCCAGCTCCAATATGCTCCCCCCCCCTACTTTATTTACTCCCTGAGGGCCTCAGTCATGGAGAGTGTGGTTAGTAGTGTAATTTTTTTTTTTTTTTTGCCAAATTAGTTTTAGCTATGTAATCTTCTCTTTGTGCTCCTAAGTGGAGCAGACCCCCGATTTTTTTTTTTTTTTTTTCAATTACCCATAGATTACAGTGGAGCTTTAGGGGTCTGGTGTTAACAGCAGCTCGGGCCCTCTCTGTCGGGCCGGGCCGGGACGGGGACTGACACGCACAGTCCCCCTGAACATGAGATAACCAGATTAGAACCGCGTCGCAAGATTAGGCAGCTCTCGCCTCTTTACCCACACATCCTTACGCTGCCCTCAGCAGCCAAAGAAGCAGCACTAATCAGGCTTATCATAACATGGATGATATGTTCAGGAGGGGCGAGAGGAGTAAGACACCAAGCAGCTTCTCAGTGTGTGTGTGTGTGTGTGTGTGTGTGTGTGTGTGTGTGTTCGGTCTCTTCTCTCGCAGGCCACACACCCTCATTAGTGACTTTAAACCGTGCAAGAGAGAAAGAAGGCTCCACTGTGGCACATTTCCACCAGACTTTGAAAAACATTAATGGGTCTAGATGCCGGCGGGGGGGAGGAGGGGGGGTTACACGCTTAAGATGCGCGGTTGCCCCGGCGCTCGTCGACAATACAAATGCAAGAGCTCGCGGGCCGAGGGCAGGGCAAAAAAATGTGTGCGGAGCTTAACGCCGCAAAACTAATCATGCGCCCAGGCAGTTGGAGGAGGCAGCCATCGCTAATACAGCAACAGTCCATCCAAAACCCAAACTCCTAATTCTGTCCTGGTAGTTCAGTCTAGAACTAGTATAGAGCTTTCTTTCCACAGTGGCAATGGTGAAGGGGTGGGGAGAGAGAGAGGGGGGGGGGGGGGGGGGGGGGGGGGGGGGGGGGGGGCAGTGGTTGCTGTTCCCTATTGCCGTGGTCCCAATGAAAGATTAATGAACCTCAGCAGAACTCCAGGGAGGCACAGAGACTCCTGGGACTCATTCACAGCCCAGAGCTGAAAAGGCTAGGGAGGGGAGAGGGAGGCAGGACGGACGGGAGGGATGTGTTTGTGTGTCGAGGAGGAGCGGCGGGGAGGGGGCAGAAATAGGTGGAATGAGATTCCTTAAAAAGAAACCAAGTCTCATTTGGAACCCAAATCTGATCTGTACATTCACAGCAACGACAAAAAAAGGAATAAAAGTGAAGAAACGATCAGGACGCAGCTCAAGAGTTAGCAGGTCAACGGAAGAAGACGCTCCGTCCCCACAACCCCTCACCTCCTAACCTCACCTCCCCTCAACCCCCACTTCGAGTAATGATGTGAAAGAATGTTGTGAGTTCCTTAACGCTCTGCGTTAAAAAGCTTTAGTAGCCATTTATACAAGTTCCTTTGTCCAGGGACAACAGCCATTGAGGCGAGGGTTCAAAATGGCCATCCAGTGAGAGCAAGTCCAGAGGGTGTGCGATGGGGCTGAAAGGGAAGCTGGAGGCCGCACTATTTACATCACAGTCGCTCACAGAGTTGAGGTAAGCCCCTTTTATCCCCCCTCCCCCTGAGAATGATGCAAAAACCAATATATTCCAGTCAGCAGCTGGAAATCGAAGCAGAGTTTCAATACAGAGATAATTTGGTAAGTCAGGTGTAATGCTTTTAGAAAAGTTTCCAACAATACAGTCAAAAAAATCAATTGTTGCATCTGCGTTGACTTGACTGAGTGTTGCAATATTAAACCTGCTAAGGTATTCCTTGTCAAAGTGAAATTTGTTTCACAAAGAGCTGTCCAGTTGCTACAAGCACAACTTTTATCTTGCAATGTGCATAACAGCAGTGCTTACACCTGGACACCGTGTTGTGTCATTATTGAGACTAGTAGTTCTTGAGGTTCTCTCTCTGATGAAGCAAGATGAAGGCTTCTCATCTGACTGGCTTTCAAAACTCCTAGGAAAGTGGTGAAAAACCCTCCACTACTTTTAAATAATATATTTCGAATTATTTTGGGTATTAAAAAAGAAGACAAAGTACAAATGGTTTGCAAGCACTGTGAGAACATAGCTGGCTAACCATCAGTTCCTGGTGACGCTAACATTTCATTGCTTGCAGTAGAAGCAAAAAGTTTAGTTACTTCAGCTTTTTTTTTTTTTTTTTTAGCTAGGATTGCATTTTATCATCTTTAGCTGGAGTGACCAAACAATGCAAGAACAATAAATGATGCTAAGATTAGCATCTGCCCCCTAATGCCTACAAAAAAGGTGTTTCTGTTTTTAGCAACTCTGGACTGCATTACATCTGGTTTAAAATCTAAAAAAATATAGGCTGATTAAATATTGCAGGAATACTGCAACTACCTAGTCATTAACCACTAACTACGCTGCATCTGCTCCCTAGCTTTCTACTGATTATAAACTCTTACACTTCAGTTTTTAGAAACCTTGGACTGCATTATGTTTCTTCTTTAAAATCTTAAAATCATAAAGCGATTAACTATTGTAAGAAAACCACTGGCTAACTATAAACCCCTAACTATGCTAATGCTAGCATCTTCTTTATAGCTAACTGTTCACCCTGAACCATAAGGGTCATTAGCAGTTTTTTAACAGTTTGGACTGTCTTCAGATGAAAATCTGAAATATTTTAATCCATGAAAAAGTGTGAAACTTTAGTGAGAATTACTGGCTAACCATTAGCCACTAACGTCATTGTACTTCATAGCTTTTTACTAATGCTAAACTAAAGGGTCAATTTAATGTTGTTTTGGTTAATGTAGACTGCATTTGTTTATCATTCATTAATGATTGAATGTTTTTAGACTCATCAAAATTGAACTGGTTTATATGGAAGAGGATTTCCAAAAGGATTACTTTAATTTTAGGCTTTCTTAAAGGACCTTTTCATCAGATTTCTGACTTTCTTTCAGAATTCAGAAGAGTAATAATTCTGACTTTAATAGCTGAATTCTGATTTTCTTTTTCTTTCAGTGGGCCTGAAAGAAAAAATCATAATGGCATAAATAAATAATATTGTTCAATGTTGATTTGATGATGTCACTTTGACTAGGGCACATTTTCTGCTCTTTTCCTCCCTAACACAGTATTTATGTTACAATCTTGTACATACTGTACAGTGTATTATTCTTGTTTTTGTTTCTATATGTTTTATTACTTTTATCTTTGTGATAATCTACATGCCTACATCAGGGGCTGCGCATTGTTTGCATTCAGTTTTTGAAAGTATGAAACTTAAACAATTATAGCCTACCAGACTTTACATCCAAACGACTTTGCTCATATAAAAGTGTTTTTAAAACACAGTTGGAGACTTTTATCCATTTGTGAAAACATGAACAGGGAGCATTTTCAGTATTGCTTCACCATTGACTCAGACTTCGATGATCATAAAAATCACAATATGATCAAAAAATAACCTGAACGATTTTAACTTTTGTTTGTATTTGTTTTTTTTTTTTTTTTATTGGGATTCTTGGTTTTCCTCAGAAATATTGCTAAAATCATGAGCTGCGTTTATTGCTACAAACTTTGCTCTAGCAGCCGGCGGTCGCTGTGGGAAGCAGCAACTCCAGCACCTGTCCTGCACGACCACAGCAGGACAATATACGAGCTCATCTCGCACAGAAGGACACAAAAGCAGGCGACGTGGGAAACTGGACTCTTCTTTTTGCTCCACAAAAGCCAGGAGGAAAAGAAAAGAAATAAATAAAAACACTTCCTGCTCCTGCCACCCCTGCTGACTTGCATCTTCCCAGCATCTCTCTTCTTATGACAAACAAACAGATTTTCAAGCCTCAGGAAAAGGATACTAGATTCAAAAGTCCCAAAAACTACATTTTAAAGGTACGATGCTTATCCTTTTTTTTCCAACTAACTGAATTTATGACAACAAAACGCATCTGCACACATGAAAAGCAGCCTGAATCAACAAAACATGTCCCCCATTCCTGTACGAGAAAAGAGGAAACAGAGAAAAGCCTTTTGAAAGTGGACGAATAAATGAGCTGCTTCAAGTTCTCCCTCTGTGGGGGTGAAAGTGGGGGAGCAGAACAAGGCAGATAGAGGAGAAAAAGTGACAGCAGGACGGAGAAAGACAAAGAGAGGGAGCACAAGAGGTGGAGGCTGGACAGGAAAAAGCTGTTGGCCTTGCATTTCCGCCTGGTGGCACCTCGCAGGGCCAATTTGAGCCCTAAATGTGAAGGTGGCGACCTTGTGAGCCCCTGTGGGGGTCTGGAGCCCCCTGTCCTTCTGCTTTATGTCATGATATGATGAGTTGTCACAACAGCTTGCGGGGCGCTAATGAGCTGTAGTGAGGCCAGGGCAGGGGAAGGGAAGGGAAGAGCGGACAGAGATGTGAGGATGACAGCGATGTGATGGATTAGAGAGCCTCTGAATTCCTAAAGCAAGCAAAAAAAAAAAAAAAAAAACGTTCGCAGTGTTTTTCCCCAGATCCAAGTGACACAACACGGTAAAAAAAAACAAAAAAATCACACACACACAAACAAAAGCAATACTGAGGAAAGTGCT